ATGAATACATGCAGACTGCTGGAATCTTTTCAGGCAGATCATTTTGTCAGGTTTTCACAGACGTGTCCTGTAGGAAATGATCATTTGTCTCATCAATCCGTAGTTCTGGTTCAAAAACACGTGTGTGACAACATTTTTTTCAAAGGAAAAGTAAAAGTTGGGACAGTCAGCCTGTGGAAATGCTCTTTTTTCCTCTAATCTCATTCTTGTACCATAGTCGACTGTTTTGGCTGAGGTTTTCTGGAGAATGTTCCTGCTAAAAATGAGATCGATGTCTGCCTTGAAAAATTTCAGCCAAAAAGTTTAACTTTGTGATTTCAGATACTGTTATCAATATGATATTACAGTGGGAAGTGCCAGGCAATTTACTAACAGGCAGTGGAATCATGGAGAAAAATGGCAGCAAACTATCCTGTTGCGTTTGGTGTATTCTGTTTTCATCTGTGCTACAGCATGTAGCATGTCTGGATTTTTACTTCATCTGTCACCTTGGAAGTGTGTATTTCACTTTGAATATGCTGAACAGGTCTGTATTAGTCTAGAAGCTTTTTCACGTGCACCTAAACACATGCAGAATCAGAGCTGTGGCATGAAAACAGGGAGACGATTTTATTTATCTCTGTTATACGCTATGGAAAAATAAGACCCATGCTGGTGTAACAGTATTGTGTGGTGAAAGCTGTGACAGTGGGAACATGTGAACGTGCCTTAAATCTGCTTTTGTATATTCCCTGTGGAGGCTGGAGAGGGGACTGGTGTGTGCTGCAGATGGAGAGTGTCCCACAGCTGGGAACACATCGGGGGCTCTGCTGAGCTGAGATGGGAACATCACCCACCCTGGTAAGCAGGACCAGAGCAGCACAGGCCTGGGAGCAAGGAGAAAAGCTTGCTAGGGGCAGATTTTAACAGTAACTTTGGGAACTACTTGTGATTTTAAGAGTGTGTTCTGCTGAACTGGACGTCTTGGGATAATGTTCCCTCACACTTTTGCGGCTATTTGCCTGTGTTTTCAAGTGAATTTGGCACTGCATAGCTCGTCCTCGATGGTGAAAATCCAGAAGGCTGGTGGTGCAAACCACCCCTTCTGGAGAAGCACATGATAAAATACCTCATCAGGCCCTGGGGAGGAACGTGATGACTGTTCCTTCAGCCTTTCACCTCCCTGCTGAAATCAGCAGGGAGACACTGAGGGCATCATCTCATGTCATGTAAGTCAGGAGACTACCTCCAAAATGCGAGGAATGGTGTTCAGTGACTAGGCTGGAAAGGAAAAAAATGTAGCTCACTACTTTCCCTGCAGTGATGTGGTGTTCCAGGAAGAGATTGAGTAACATCCCTAACAGGGTACAACAACATTGAAGTAAGTCATATTTGCAGCATAAATGCTTGGTAATGGTTCTTAACGATAAATCCTTGATAACCAAACCTATTCAAAGGCCCTAGTCCATATTTGGTGGTTACGTAATCAATTCTATGGTTCCATAAAAAATAGTGTGTGAAAAAGTAAGATGTCTTTGGTTTTATAATTAGAAGTAAAGAGATTTCAGAATTTTTTTTGCAGTCTTAATAGTTATGTAAAAAAAGATTTTTTTAATCCTTGATCAACAAAATAAAACAATAAATATTGCTGCTAATAGTCTAACAGTAATCCCTCAAAGGACCCATTTTATGATGTATCATACGACCCAAGTAACAACTTTTTGACAAAGGCCAAAATCTCAGGATTTTAAGTTCATCGGGAGCTGAAATAGTTCCCCCTGCATATGAATACTATTTTAGCAATGGATTTTTGATTTAGAGTCCCCCTGCTAAGTAGCTAAAACTTCTTTTTCCACTGGTTTATGTACATGGAGAAATCAGGGCTGGGGAAACCACTGAAACCTGAATGCCTTCTGAATGCCTTTTCCAGGCTACATGCTAACTCACATTTTGATATTATCTGATAATGTGAAAAACAGTCGAATGGCCACAGGCCGTATGAAATGGAAGTCACGGGCCGTGCATTCCCCAGCTGTAGTGTAAAGGAAATGACTGATAAAAATATTTTTCTAGCTGACCTCCGGCTTACCTTTGTCTGCCAAAGAATTTCCTGCTAATTCCCCTCTAAAGCTTTCTTGCAGCTACAGCCTGTTCCTAGAATCTTGTGTCAGAAAATATGGACCCCATCTGAGCCTGTTTATTGATGCACTTTAGATAAAGAATAAATGAAAGCTTCTTCTAGATATCCAAATAATGCTCCTCAAAAAAGTGAATCACTCTGTTCCTATGTAGTGTTAGAACAGCACTTGGCATTTGGATGGCGCATTATTAGAGAAATATTTGTCCCCGAACCACTATGTGGATGTACTTGGCACAGATGTCTGAGGGGCTGTGGAGCGCTCTCTCTTGCAGCAGCAAGTATTTGGACACTGAGCAATGTAATGCCACTCAGAAACGTGATGCTTAAGCTCAGTGTGAGGAGTCTGACTCATGAGAAATAGATTCAGAAAGCTGGAAAGCTGAATGAGATAGTTTATCAATTAAGACACAGATGAACTGTGAGGAGGGACAGGACTTAAACAGCGTCCTTCAGTGAGATTAAGAACCCACTACTTGGCTGAAGGGCTTAAGTGGATTAGGGGTCATGTTTGTGTTCATCTTTCTCATTGGTTTATAATTCAGAAAAATAGTAGTGATGCCCCACTCTTTCTCTCCTTGGACAGAATATAGACGACTAAGGTTCAAAGCAGGACAAGAACATCTAAGCCTTTTAACGTACAGCATCACTGTATGTGTTAGCCTGGTACTTTGACCAACTAGACAATGCCTAAAACCAATTCCCTCTTTGACCCAAGATGAAGGGAAGGCTGCTCTCACTTTTAGGCTGATCCTCTGTTTTGCTGAGGACTAGTTTCTGCCCCAAGAAGCTGTGCCACTCTGCAAAAAACCACAAAATTCACTCAGCCAGAAAAAGAGCAAATCTGGGTAATCTACTGATAAACCACTCAGCTGGCACCGGCTAGGTTCTGGTAGAGCTTCCCAAAAAGGAAGAACATTTCTGTGTTTTGCTTTGTTTCTATATTATACTCCTTTGCTGCCCAAATTTAGTCTCTCTCTGAGCAGATGGATTTGGTTTTTACTCTTCTAAGCTAAGGAACTAACTACCCAGAACTATGCAGGTTCAAGGTTGAAGTGTGTGTCATGCCCAGGGATTGAAAGAAGGTGGAAGTTTCTTACCTCCAGGATGGGATCCCGGGAGGCAGGGATCCCACAGCTTCTTCCCATAGCTCCCAAGGTCTGAAGGGGAGTGGGATTTCAGGTTTTCCCCTCTTTCTGAGCTTTCCAACCGGGAAGGTTACATAGGCCTTCATGTCTGCTGACTGGCATACTGGCAGGATACAATCTAGTCATAAGAAGCATCTAAGCACAGATTTTGGGGGTGATTTTCATTGGGTTTTCAATGCTAGATTTAGCTAACTGAAGTGTGAAAAGTATTGGAATTTCTCCTTAAATCCATGCTAATGGGAGATGCAAATGCCTTGTGCCCCTATGCCAGAGTGAAATTTCCCTAAAATTAAGGGACACACACAAGTCTATTTCCTTAGTTTATTAGTACAAACAATGCATACACAAGACTGTATATTGTTTGAAGACTGTAATAGGTTTCTAATTTAACAACTCTGTAACAAAATTTAACTAAATTTGACATTTATGAAAATATAAATCTCTGATTGGGTAGGTTTTCCCAACAATACAAAGTTTACATAAAAACATTCAATATGATCTATTAGTTGCAAACAAGTTAGGAAAAATTATTCAAGTTACTTAATATACTATATTAGCTTGTACACTGAACATTCACACACTACATTAAGTTCTAGCCTAGCATTCATTTCTTGGAGATTCGTGACATGGAATTCTGATTTTAAACATAAAACTGTTTTGTTTAAATAATTTGAAAACACTTCCACAGGTGTGCCAACTTTAAGATATGTAAGAAGGGAAAAATCTTCTTATGCTTTCACATGCTGTCCAGTATTTTTCTTGGGCAAAATATAATTTTTTTAAAAGAAATTGTCATTAGTTCACAATTTCTGCTTTGACTCTGGTAAAACTGTACAAAAGGCTCAGAACAGTTCTAAAGCAGAAAGTGAAGCTTGTAATTATGTGGAAGTAAGAAAAAAACATTACAAATTGAACCAGTAAAGAACCTTTGGACAGCCTTTACATTTAGCGGAGTATTTCAGCACATATACAAGCAGTCCCAGAGTGTTTGGTCATCTGATCTGTGTTTATCATGGGAAAGAACAGAAATAATAGTAAGGCAAATGTTATCAGGATTAATACACAGTATGTCTGAAAACTTTCTATTAAGATTACTTTGGGGACATACTTCAGACTTTCTTACAACAAAATGGATATCAACCTTTTGACATAAAGAAATTAAGGTGTTTAACTGTTCATTGGTAATGCTCTTTCTCTTTGAAAAAGTTTTCATTACGGCCTGTACTAACATACACTGTGAAGACGAAAAAATTTCGCAAACCAAAAATAACCCCCCAAAGCCTATATATTCCTTTTATGACCTAAGTTTTATCATCTTTATCACAATACAGAAACCTGAAATCCCTGCATGCAATTAAAAAAAAATAAATCTTTCAGTCCATTCATTAAGGTGAACAAATACTTATCAGCTCACGTGTTAACATGTTTTCAGCTGTCTGGTACCTATTCCTTTCAACTCAAAGATTAATCCCAATTGAAAAAAAAAAAGGTATTTTTTTAAGTGATGATGGAATGTATCAAGTGTTCCAGGTTGGCAGGTGACATCTTGTCATTGCACCATCAAGCAGAGAAACATATTTTTGCAAGTCGGTATAAAGTTGGCTTTTAGCTATAGACCCATCTAGGCGACTTGGTGTATAAAATAGTGGTCTTACTCTTCTCACCGATCATGTGGAGCTTTACTTCTAGTGAAAACAGTTTGTCAGTCCCAGATAAGATCACCTAACTTCTGCAATAGCGTAACAATTTTGATAGTATTGCTAGAATTTTTTAATCAAGGCCCTGGTGAAATCCTGGACTGAACCTTGTATTCCAAAATTTAAAAAACCCTGCAGCCCATTTGCTTTATGTTTGCTTTTTTTCTTTACATAAACATATTTGCCGAGGAAAAAAACAGCTGGTCTGCCCTCTGCTGTTCCTGTCTGTCTTCCAAGAAATGCACTGATTTTTACGTGAATTCAGAAGACAAATCTATGCAAGTATACTATTACTCAGATAAGCTAGTCCAGACAGTTACTCAGTTGTCAGCAGCAAAACTGTGTCCTCTGCAGTCTATGGCGGAGCACACTTTCTCATAGCAATAGTTGTGTTTTTTGGTTGGTGTTGCTTCACTCACCTCAGGCTCTGTAACTGTAATGGGGCTGTCCCTTGCAAAGACCTCCGTTGATTCCCTCCAGATGCAGTCTGCAGTCACTTTGAAGCTGTAATTGTGACATTTTGGCCTAATCACTTGTGTTGTGTTGTTGAAAATCTGACGGCTGTTTGAAGTAGCAATTTTGATTTTCAGTGCAGCGTCGACTCGATCCACTACAGTGTAAGTACCTATACTTCCGTCATCAAAGCCAATAATAATATTTAGATGTCTCTGTGAGAGTGCAAGAAAAGTGGGAGTTTTATAAAGGGAACAGGCACCGATGTTTTTGCCATCTGCTAGCCTCATTACTATTAAGCTGGAGACTGCACCATTGTCATCATCTTCTTCACTGCGAAAACAGATGTACACAAGATAGCGGCCATCCCGAGACAGCCTCTGCCGCCAGATGATACCTGGAGCGTGAACCACACGAAGTTTTCCACTGTGTAAGTCAAGCACATTGATGTTCTCATCACCGCGGGTTATAATTCCTAGCTTCCCATTTGGGGATATTTCGAAGTCTTCCAAATTTTTTAAGAAATTGGTAGGCAACTGTACACGTCTGCAGATGACTTCCTCTGTTAGGCTCCAGATGTTCACAGTTTCAGTGGATGTTATAAATACTACAATATCTGGGCAGTCTGGTATCAGCTTAATATCCACAATGCTTGCACCATCATCACAGCAAAACTTCTTGGTTATACTGCCTGTCCAGAGGCTCACTGCCAACACTTTGTTCTTTGCCATTCCGACTACGAATGTATTTGCAGTTGTTATAAATGCATTCTGTAAGGCAACTAAAATATTGCAAACCCTATGTCCTGTAGCCAGGCGCCAAACTCTGGATGCATTTTGCTCGCAGAGGGAGACTACAAATTGATCGTTATGAGTAATCATTAGCTCTGAGATCTTTTGTCCGTTGATGCGAAAGATATTTTCGCCGCTAACAGTGTGCCATACGTACTGACTGCATTTATCGTCTGATGTAACCATTATCTCTCCAGAAGAGGTCAGCACACAGTTTTCGACAATACCTTCATGCTTGAACACAGCTTCAATAAATCCAGTGCTGAAGTTCCACTTGTGGACAGAATCCGATCCATCCAACGTGTATATTAATTCACCTCTGGCTGGCAACACCAATCTTTGGATAGGCTTGCCAGATTTGTCAATATTGGACATAGCAGTTATGATGTCTATATCCCAAATAGAAAGGACACCACTGGTGGATAAGGATAGCAGCATGTTATGATGATTTGATTTTATTAGCCTGACTATAGTTCCTGAGATTTCCTGTAAGCTTGCCATACACTGTCCCGTATCTCTTCTCCAAACAAAAATGGCTGAGGTATTTTCCATTGAAGCAATTATACAGTTGCCATTTTTGGACAACACGGCAGATATAAAGCGCTCGTTGTGTTTAGCTCTAAACTTTTCAGCCACCTTCCACACATGAGTGTCAAGAAGCTCAATGCTGAGAGCCTTACAAATTAAAATTGCACTTTGGTCTTCAGAAAGCTCTATGCTGACAACTTCACTGTCTTCTCTCCTGCAGTCAAAGTCATCCGTAAGCTGGGGATTTGTGATTTCCTCCGTATTCCAAACAGAGAGGCTACCCTCGTTGTCCACCATCACCATTTCTTGGGCCGTGTCCAGAATGAGAAGGAATTTCACAAACCCACTAGAAAATTCAGAGGTCACGGTAGCCAGCTTCTCTCCGCTGCCCAAGTGAAAAATGGTGGCGGTGTTCAAGTACTGGCCGCAGAACGCATAAACTCCATCTGGAGAGCACTGCACGCAGGTCACTTCGTACCAGCAGTGGAAGTGATAGAGAGGCCAACCGTAAAGCAGATCTATTACAGTAACGTCTTTGCTGGCCTCCAGCCAAGCGAGCGCATGGTTGACCGACAGCGTAAATCCATTTATAAAACTGGAGCCCCCTCCAATTCCACAATGTTTTGACCCTTTAATTTCCACCTCAGACAGAAGACAGGAATTTACGTTATCGTATATCAAGAGAGTGTTATTTGTTGTGGCCACCACAAGATACTTTTCATCACTGGTAAGCTTCATCCCTAAGATAACCGATGGAGCTGTTGTAATCTGCCTTAGTAACTGGCGGGTCTCTACATCCCAAGTGCTGATGGAGCCATTTTCCAAAGCAGCAATAACTGTGCTGGGATTAAAAGTTGGCAAAATGTCAGTGACGTGCATGCAGCTGGAGGACAGTGGCAGGCGCTCGGGGCTGTAAGTCACATCCATGGAGGAATGCAAAGGGACGATAGAGCAGTACTTGGGTCCGTCCTTGTCACATTCTAAGAGGAGATGTCTGAGTTTGGGCAATGAACTTACTACTGGGAGAAGCCTCTGCTGCAATTCTGCTGAGAGCGAACCTGGGTATTTTACTACTTTGAACTTTATGCTGCGGAGGGTACTGGCCAGAAATTTCAGCTCCTTTTCTTGAGAGTAGGTGTAAGCCAGTTCTATGTCAGAAAGTGCTTTATCAAACTGCCCTATTCTAATCATGGTGTACAGCCAGCTGAAGTTCATAATGACTCCGTACAGAAGGTCATCCGTTCTCCCACATCTTGTCAAGTGATGAATAAGCTCCGTCATTTTTCGGTGATTGATAAAAAAGATATCGGGCTCTAATGGATTACACTGAAAGACCCATGGCTGATCAGGTGCCTGTCTGTCAAAAGCAGTCTGATCCATGCAGTGCTTCTCATCCTCGCTCAGGCCTCTAATGTCACGACCAGGACAAGCATTCAGATATTGATCCTTGCTGAAAAAAGGTTTTCTTCGTCCACCTGACCAAACACCAAGGAAATACTCTGCCATGACTGTGTGCATTTCACGTAAGTCTTCTTCATTGTGCAGGTACAGTTTCTGGGCAATTAGTTGCAAGTGCCTGTTTGCCCAGAGAAGCAGCGTTACATTTTTCACCTGTCGCTCTATCAAGTACCCCTGTAAGCCCTCCTTAAGCCTTGCAATGTATATATAAGGAATTCTCAGTGGGTTACTTTCTCTGACGCTCTCACCCAGTTCATAAATAACGCTATTGTCAAGGGCTAAAATATCTTCCAGTTCCATTTCACTCAGGCCAGATTTGGCCATAGTGATGTAGCCAAGTGCTCTTTGCAATAGTCTTGATCCACACTTGTTTTCCAGTGACCAGAACAACTGCTCTATGCTTTCATGGACAGTGACACAGAGAGAGGACTCATCCACGTCTTTGTGAGATCTCCAGTTCCTGACCTCTCTGAAGGTTAAATTCACAAACATAGGCAGTGTGCACTTGGAGAATGCTTCATTGACGTAGATTTGTTGCCCTGATGTTACCTTTCTTTTAACTCGCAGCAGCTGATGTTTCAGTACTTGGCTACACATCTTTCTGTCCCTTGCAGTCAATTCAATGTAGTTGTCTTCTTCATGAATAAGGCACCTCAGTTTCTGCAGGATCCCATGTTTGTTTGGCAGTGTTGACAAAATTATCCGTACTGAACGGGGAAGGTGAATGGGAAGCCACCAGAGCTTCCTACCATCATCGCTATCTGTTAGTTGTTCTAGGGCATCGAAAATTATCACCAGCGGCCTGTGGAATGACGACTCATTCAAGAGATTGATGAACAAGTCCCGAAGGTCATGAATCTTTTTTGGGTAGCTTTGTACGAGGCAACGATAGTTGACTGCTAATTGTTCACAAATGCTTTGAAGTATATTCTTCAGATCTGTACTTGTTTCAGTAGATCCCAAAAATCTTATAACTACCACAGGGTCAGAATCTGGTCCCATCTCTTCTTGCAACCAGGAATAGGACTAGAATAGAGCAGAATTTTGTTAATATCTAAATGAAACACAGTAACAGAGTTTATAAACAGCAATTGCCTATATCTAAATAAATAAATGTACATGTTACTGGCGGAATGGAAATGCTTTCACTGGCAGAATTTAAGGCTAGTTTGATTTATGTGCACTGAATGAAATTCGTATCATACCACAGGTAACATCCCTAAAGACCTAGATCAACAAAAAGGCTTATATCGAAGGGGACATGAGTAGAATGTAGTCCATAAAACCCACGGTACTCTTTGCAAAATCTGTGTCTCACTTCTGAAAGTCACTAGGTACATTCTCTTATTAGTAAACTTCCTCAAACACTAAGCAATGTCATCCTTGGCTAGGCAGACCAGTTTGCCACCTAAATTGTTTAACATCGATTCCCAGCTGTGTATAAATGCACACCCTGATGGTTTTAGAGGACAGGGATCAAAGTAGATACTGACTTCTACAAGCAGGGTGCCTTAATTCCTGGACCACAAAAGTATGTTCTGTTTTGGTGTGCCTGTGACTTTTGCTCTTACACACTGCCACAAGGGTTAAAAAGTATCTCTTGACGTATTTTTTTGGTTAGCATACTCTAAGCAAGTGAGGAACATGGCTTTAAATCCTCTCACTCTGTTCAGGCTAACACACTCAGTTCTCTTACTTGCTAAGTCTTTTCACGTCACTTTAAGTTATTGGAGAATATTTTAAAAGAAAAGCATAACCAGAGTTCCTAGGTGAACTTATGCGCTCAGATCTGAAATGATATCTTGAGTTGCAGATCCCAGTTTCATATACGCAACTAATGTGAATCTACAGGAAGTCACATTTGGGAAAGATACAGGATTTTAAATATTATTTTTCCCCTCTCCATTTCCTTCTGGCTGATATGGCTGTTTCCCAGCCCCCTGTGCAGAATTCTTTGAGCGCTCTGCAGGGAACTCAAAGTTGTGACTCCCAGCTGGAGAATTAAGCTTAGAGATGCCAGCCTGGTCTTTTTCTGCATCTGGTCTTGCCTTGCACAAACTGTTTCATTCATGTCCCTGTAGTACTCAACTTTAAGCAGCATATGCCAGATAACTGAGTACAGTTATTCTTGCAGGTTATTACAGATAGATTTGTAGCAAAAGTATTTGCAACAAGTGTATCAGATTAATTCTGGAATAATTTCTGATAAGAACATAAGATTGCATGACTTGGAAAGTACACTAATATGCACAATCTACATTTTATTATTATTTTTTTATATATTGAAGGCTGATGTCAGATTTGTTGACAAAAGGAAGAATGAAAACTAATCTGGCCCTTACACACCAATGTTCCTAATATCACCATATTACGCACTCACCTTTTTCGCCACTTCAGCTAATAAAAGAGTCTTCCCTGTGCACGGTCCTCCGTATATGATAAGAGGGTTAATGTGTCCTATTTTGCTTGGTAGAACATACTTGTGAACTATGTTTAATGCCTCACATCTATATTCATAAAAAGCTGAGTAGGTTTTACATAGCGACGAGTGCTGAAGAACTTCGTCGTACAGCAAGTCCGTCTCGGTGTCAAAATTCTGCTGCACTGTCGCTTGGATTATATCAATCATGTCTTCGTAGAACTGTTTACCAAGTCCTTCGATGTAATGGTTCTCCACTTCTTGGGAGTAGCCCAGTTTCATGTCGCAGTGCGTGACGGACGTATACACCCTCAGGTTGGCCGATGCCACGATGGTAGGAATGAATTCGTCCCTGAGCTTGATCAGTTTCTCATGCGCTTCAGGATCTCGTAGAAACTTCCCAGCTGTATGTACCACGTCCATGTATTTTCCCATCTCTGGGATTTTAACGAAACGCTCAATGTTGGCAATCTTTCGGATGTAGCAAACACACTTCTTTAGGAAAGCCGGTGTTTGTTTACCCAAGGCAAAATCAAGTTCATCTTCAATAGCTGTGGATGAAAAGAGAACACAGAGTCTCTGTTATCTCTTCTTTATAAACAGTTCAAGAACATCCCCAGCCCCCAACATGCAGACTCTTAAATGATTGCATCGGTTTTCTATAAAAAACAGAAAAAGGACATAAAAATCACTCCGTGCTTTTGTACGGGTTTTAGTCTCAAGCAAGGACAATGAACACTTTTTTTTCTCTTTAATTATGTAAGAGATGCTGACAGAAATGTGTTTTCATGTTTGTGGAAAGGTTAACAGAAAAGATAATAAATGTAGATATAGAAATAGTCTGAACTTTACCAGAGGAAAGGTATCTCTTTGCTTGGCTGTGTTTCATTTTTCCTTTCTCATACAGCAATTTCACAGCAGTCTTGAAAATCTTCTTAATCTCTTCTGATATATCTTGCCATTTGTTCTCATTCACAGAGTTTGAAGAAGATTCCATCTTTAAAAAATATCAATAGTTAAACAGTAGCTGTAATACACGTATCTACAACTTCAGAAAGTAAAAGTCTAATATTCAAGGTCACAGATAACATGGTAAGAGAGAAACACATACTATAAATAAATAAATAAATAAACAAACAGAGATTCAACTTTTCCTACTGTAGTTAATCATAAAGTATTCCATTTCAAAATTATAGAAGTTGCGTATTTTCTGAATTCCTACTGTGGGCGGGCAGCTAAAGAAATATTTTTCAGGAATAACACCAAGAACACCTTTATAGAAAGAGAGTTTTGAGAACCAAGTCTGAAATAATGAGAATAAAGCAGCTGTAATACTGCTAAAATTATTGCTCCTTTAATGAGAAGTAATAATAATGATAATTTTATCTTGGATCTCAAAACTGAAAATGAGGTTCCTGGTACGTCTAATTAAGCACCTCATATTAGCTGAAATATACGGGATTCTATGTGACATTACTTTTGTACATTTATTGCTATAGTAACAATGATTTTGCTGTCATCAGAGAGGGACTCTAATATAATAAATACACTAATCCTTGCTGGCAGTATCTTGCAGATGCCACGACAGAGGTGGTGATCACTGCTGCATTACTTACTGTAGGTGAAGTGTTGAAGGGTCTCCAGTTTTCCTGGAGGGTGTCAGAGGAAAAAGAACAGCCTTCAGGATAAGCTCCCTTGCAACTCTTTCTTGACACGTGTCAAGAGCTGTGTGGCTTTTATTACTTGCTGCAAATTTATAAGATGTAACTCTATGTTATCTTTACATTATGAATATCTTTTTACTTCTCCATAGCAGTAGCTTGTGGAAAGGCACAAAGGATTTTTAATAACAAAAAAGCCAAGCTTCATTCAAAGGGATACTATGGGCATTAGCTAAACAATGCAAAGTTACGGAACTTGCTTTCTTCCTTGCGATCAATACTTTAGAATTAGCCATGTTATATGCTCTTCAACTCATTAAACTCTTTCTGTGTCTACGTTTTTTTCACGTTTTCAATGTTTTTGCATGCAATAGAGAAAACATTCTCCTACACCATAAATGAATGCCATATAAAAGTTTAATTTCATTTTCTTCTATAATACAGTATGCACTAAAAATGAGGTGAATAATCTGCAAAAGACTTTATTTTTTGTACACGGAAATCTGTTCTTGAGTATAGGATGTGTGAGAGGGTAATAAACAGTTTTTGTTGTCATCAGTTAACTCGCCCAGGTGGGTTTTTGAAGTCTGGAGAGAAGGGGACTCCACAACCTCTCTGGGCAGCTTGTGCCAGTGCTCTGTCACCCTCACAGTAAAGAAGTTTCTCCTCATGTTGAGCGGAACTTCCTGTGTACCAGCTTTACACTCCTTATTCCTTGTCCTATTACTGGGCACCACTGTGAAGAGACTGGCACCTTCCTCTTGATCCCCACTCCTCAGGTATTTATTATATACATAAAAGATCCCCTCTCAGCCTTCTCTGTTCAAGACTAAACAGCCCCAGTTCTCTCAGTCTTTCTTTATATGAGAGATGTTCAAAAGATATTCATATGAGAGAAGTTCAGACTGTTAATAAGTTAAAAAATTGAGATCTGACTCAAGACAACACTAAGCACTTGTTTGATGATTAAAGGACTTTCTTGCATGGAGATAGAAGGGAAAATGCACATTTCCTCTGCAAATCCTTTTCACTGAAATCTAGCAAAAGCACAATACTGGTGCAGCTGAGACTGAGCTTTCCATACTACAAAAAATCAGGAAAGGGGAGAGAAATCCACACAACTGTCACAACAGGCTACGAACAACTATGACCCAGTTGCCCTAGCTGTTACCGGAGGGTGCAACGATGCATGATGAGCCATGACCCGTCGTGTTCCTTGGTGTTTCACAGCTGCCCCCTTCCCCTTGTACAGGAAAGGGGCATTACAGCACTGGTTGCTCAGGCGGGCACAGGGCTGTAGAAGCTGATTCAGAGACAGCAGCAAGCACCCAGCCCTGAGGACTGCTGGCCACCGTAACTGATAGAGAAGAATTTTCTAAGAAGGTGACTATGACCTACCGTATTCTGGTAGTTCTTCAGCATTTCAGATTTCGGTCTGAGGTAATACGCTGGTGGCACCGCGTTCTCATCCCTGCAGTACCACTCTTCTAAGAGCCTTGTCTCTAGCTTGGCCTCTACAGCAGCATCCAGGATCATTTCAAATTCTGCTGACTCAACTTCCCCCGGTATTCGGATGTTGCCGTACTTCTCTCCCAAGAGGCCCTGTGTATTTGCAGGAAAATAGGGATTAATTTTTTCTTTTTAGTTACCCAACCCCCCTCCTCAGGATCTGAATTTAATAAAAATCAGTGTGGTAGCAGTTTAATGACCTTGAAATTACTAGAAAGGGAAACAGATAGAGTGTAAGATTAATTGCTGTTGAGGATGCTGTACTGAGCTGTATTTTACTATGATGACTTGGTAAAATTTCAGGTAGATGCAGTCTTTCTTAATATTAACTGGTGATAAAAACACAAAGGCATTCAAATGAAGAAATTTTAAAAATATCCAACATACTCCCCTAGCACAGTATTGACTTGTGCATTACTGATTCCAGTTAGTCACAGGTTGGCACTAATCTCACATGCAAAAGCGAATGTAGAAATCTTTTTCTCTGGACTCAGGATAAGGAAGTATCTCTGGATTCTTCACCTCTTGGCTTTATTCTTAGTTTCCAGAGTAATGGAAGAGAAAATTTTATGTTCTGCTTGATGAAAATTCACATGATTCACAGCTTATATTGGTGTTATTAAAAATGTAGCTTATACCAGCAATACCATGGATCAATGTTGCAGAACCACGAGCTGCTTTGCTTTCTCATATTCCCTTGTTGCAAAAATGTTAAACATCTTTGCCCTGGTAGCTGTTAACTGAATGAACAGTGGGGCAAGGGAAAATAGTTTTGATCAAATAAGAAGAGAAATATAAATAGTACTTGAATGCACGTTTGAGATATAGGCAAAGGTTTGTCAAAGTCAGTTCTTAAACTGTGGCACAAGCTATTTTTCACCTGAATACATTTTTTTTTAATTTACTTCCATAGTCTGCTGTCCATAAATATTTATTAAAAAAAAGGATTGGGAAAAACTTTATAGAAGATAGAGTTGCAGAACATTTCTGCATTCTTTCAACAACATTTTTCAAATTTGCAATCATTTGTTCAATTCTGCATTCAAATCGTGGACCACAGAAGTCAGTGAGAACTCTCATTTCTTTTAAAAAAGAATTATTTATTTCTTTCCTCATTTAAATGAATTCAGCAAAGATTCTGAGTTAATGAGAAGGAGTACTTAATGTGGAGAGGAACCAACAGTATCAGCATCTTGATTTGTATCAGAAAGATCTCTTAGTACTAAGTAATGCTAATGGAAATACAGTAGTACCTTAAAAATGTAAATGACCTTGTTTGTAAATAATAAAAATCTAAATATTCATTATTTTTAAAGCACTCATCATAATGAGAAGCTGTTTTAAACTTTTCCAGTTGTAACTAAACCCTGAAAATCAATAACTAGTGATGATGAAGCCTGCTTTGCTGATTACAGAAGTGCGAAGCTGCAGACCCCTGTTCTGCATCCAGTTGTGTTGGCAGAAGGTGCTCAAGTGGCTCATCATGCTGGATGCTGTAGCCCGAGAGTACAGAGATGTCAGAGCATGTGAACACACCCTAACCTCTTTTGGGCAAAACCACCTCCGTTAGCTCAGACCACAGTTCACACTGTATAAACTAACCCAGCTGATTTTTTGCCTGGAGCAGATTGGGAAGAGCTCACAGAAACCACAGCGCTGGCTCTGACAGCGAGCTGTTGGCATCCTCCAATAGAGGAGTAGTGACAAAGAGCTGGTGGACAGGAACAAGCCAATGAGAAAAGAACAAATGTGTTCAGTAACTAAATTAAATAACAATCATCTGAATTAAATGATCCAGTATTTTTATTACGTGATTTGCTTCTTCTGTGTGATCATTCTAACTAGTAGTTCCCTCCACAGAGAGCTCCATTCCTTCACATAATGAGATAACTGGAGAAGACGTCTAAGTTTTTACTGTTCTCATAGAGCCCTATAGTTCTGGAATTCTGAAGCTGCAGAAGTTAAAGAAAATACAGTATTATTTTCCTTCTTTATTCAAGTGAGGTTAATAACTCATATCGTACTGAATTTCAAGTTTTGCACATTCAGACTGATGTAGAAAGCTCATAGATTTCTCCCAGAGGAGCTTTGCTATGCAAATTTGGCAGTTACCTTCTATAGCAATTATTACTTGAAATTCATTAGACTACACTTTTTCTGAATTTAAGTCCAGTGGATTTAATAGACAGTTGCCCAAGCAAAGATCAATAGCTGGGCCCTTCATTAACAATACTAAAATGTCAACATTAAAATGTCTGGTTTTATTGTACTATATTAAATCAACTAAATTTGTTTTGGACTTATTCTCCGTGCTTTTCTGCCTCTCTGGTACAGTTTATGCTGTTCTCTCTCCACTGTGCTATAGGTAAACAACAAAAGGCAGTACTTTATAATGAAAAGATGGATGTTTTTTTCTTGTATCTTATCTGTCATTGCAATAGACATTATGTAAATAACCCCATATTAAGGATCATCCTTCTGCCAACTAGAGCAAAAAAAAGGAACTTTGACGTGATCAGACTATTAGAATCACTGTGGATGACTGCATCATGAGCTTTTAAATAAAATGGAGGCCTATGCAATTATTTAAAAGCCTTTATATTTTTTTAAATCAAATGTTAAACAGTAGAGGACATACATTTATCACAGTGTAACTTGCTGCTATAAATGGCATTGCTAATATTTTGCTGAAGGTCTAGCATTAGCTGAGGGAAGAACAGATATACACAGATGAGGAATCACACAGACAAGAATGTCCTCCATTTGGGATGATGGCAGTGAACATCCATAAAGCTTAATTCACAACAAAATTAGCCTTGTATGATTTTGTTTTGAGGTGTTTATCCTCTTCTTGTTTGGTTGGGAAAAGTTTTAACGATAATCTTAAAAGATGACACATGCATAGTGCTGGGAAGTAATGAGGAAGAAGAAAGGAACACATCGGTTGAACATCATGTAAGGATCTACATGTGCTAAAACACCAAGTTTTAGAACTTTAAAAGTGGGCCATGGCAAAAAGGAAACTGCAGAGGTCATGCCGGCACCCCACTGCCATGTATTTTTTCCCCAAGAACTGCTCAGGGAGCAGCAGGCAGCACGGTCCCCACCAGTGTTCTGTAACTGTGCCCAGGGCACGCTAGAAAACTGTTGCAGGGATTGCGGTAGAAATCCTTCATAGAAGCTGCCTGAGTTGGTCGGGCTCAGACCACACCTCTGAAGCTTGGCTGTACTTAACTCAGGAGTATTGCTTCACATGGCTGGTGTGAGCAAGGACTCCAAGTTCTAGCCAAAACTTAGGCATTTCTGCAATTAAAGCAAACTTAAGCAGCAGCTGAACAGCAATTCTGAGGATACCTGTGGCACCTATGTGATGAATACGTGCATTTAGAAAGGCAATTAAATGATTTAGTGTCTTTGACATTCTAATAAAGCAGAATTGACAAGTAAGCAAATAGAAATAGAAATAGGAAAAGGGCAGGGAACAAAAAGAACAACACTGAAATGAAGAGGGGAATTGATTACACAAGTAGAAGAAGCAAATGGTAAATACTGTGCTAAGCAGGCCTATCATTTAGAGTAGGGTAATCCCAGGCACTGCATCTGTGTTCCTCTTAGTGCCCCACGAGAATTTAGCTGAGGATCTGGTATTAGTACTTGACTCTGTGCAGCCATCTGAGAAATGTTCTGGTAAAAAAAATTATGTGGTAGAAAACTCTTCATGGAGTCACTCCTGTGCTTTCCAGTAATGCCAGACTAGCCTTAATCTCAGCCCAGTTTCAATGGCCATTTAACTGAGGTATTGAGAAACAATTTCTTTTCATTTTTTTCCTGGAGAGGACAAAAGGAACTGACACTATTTTTCCAAAGGACTGTGATATCACACGTCAGTGCTGTAAGTAAGAGGCTGAATAAATGCAGCTGCTCTCTACTGAGATTGAAGCTAGAATGCTGGGTTATGTCACATGGACACACCAGGTTCCTGGGGAACAGTTCTTCACCTAAACACACCTTCCTCCAGATGCATTGTGTGTTTTTCATTAACAGTGACTACTAATAACAGCAACAACAAAAAGACTAAGAACTATAAACAGGGTATATGTTTTTGCTGGAATCTTAATAAACTATTTGTTTGTAAGGCTACCTGACAGCCTTAGCAAGGGAGCACAGCAACAGGCTATGAAAATATCTTCATGTGTTTAGACACAGAGGTGAGGCTTGGAAGTATCTCCTTCTAGGTGATACCAGGAAGCAGCCACCTCCCCTTCAGTCCTTTGGTGCCGTTATGGTTAAATGTATATCTGTCTCTCTAAGTGTAGTTTTTCAGGGTACCAAAAAAATCCCTTTAGAAGTCTAAATGAGAAGCTCCAAATTGCACTTTTCCTCCAGGGGCTTCAGTGTCTGAACTGCCTCCATGCCAGAGGCTTGCAGTCACCTCTGGAAATACTTGCCCCCCCATTCCATACTCCCTATAGACTCAAGCAGACGCAAGCTTCTTCATAGAAAAATGAAGCAACAGAATAGAAAGAAAATATAACTTCTCACAATCTTAATGTTGTTTCATACCAAGTCCACAAATAAGAATATTTATTTCAGACCTTTATGAAAAATATCTCAGTACTCTAATAACCTAAAACTTCAATTTGCAATAACAACATTGCAACATTTTGATGATTATGATAGGAAATTATTTTTAAAGTGAACAGTAATGTTTACTCTAGGTTCAGTATCAAGAGACAGTTTTATATGCAGACTTGTGAATCAAAATCTCCCACCTGATGAGTCATTTTCCTTTAATAGTAAAACAACAAATTAAAGATTCATTAGATTGAAGGTGATTGAACTGTTTAAAGCTACCAGGCTGGCAAACATGTATAAACTCCTTTGCAACCATTTGTATCCAACAAAAGGTTATGGAATTAACACAGAGCAACCTCAGCAGTAGTCTTGTTAGCTTTGTTGAGCCTGAGGCTGAAGTTACTATTAAATGAAGATTAAAAAATTACTGTTTAGATGCAGATGGTACAGCCATGACAATGACCGAAAGGAGGAAACTAATCAGATTTGGATTTGATCTTGATATCATGGAATCATAG